TAGTTTCCACACTCTGTTGGGTCACCTTTCTTTGGGATAGGAACAAATATAAAGAACAAAAATTGCAAGCAATCTGAACATTCATTAAGACTGAAAAAGTACAGTCTGGAGCGCTGGTGGCTTAATGGTATGGAACTGTGCTGCAATCACAAAGGCACGCGGTTCAAATCCACCAGATGCTCCGCTGGAGAAGGAGGGATGATCTCCTCCTGTGCCAGTCAGATCTAATTTGACAGCACAAAAGAAAAACATAGAATAAATTTCTGCTTGTTAAAGGCCCCCCACCAAGGAGGAAAAAAAAAGACTGCAGTGTAGTTCTATCACACTACCTCATTTTCTTTAATGTTCATGTCCTAGTGTATCTACAGACAGATGCTGATACAGGAAAATCACCAAGACATACAGTTTTTTTAAAGTTGCAAAATAAGCTCTCTTATGTAAATGCAGATCAGAAAGACAATGACAATAGTCAATTGTATCAAGGGGCATCTTGGATTTTTGTCTGTATACTAATCATTTAAGAGTATCTCAAACCCATAGCTATTAAACAGATTTGAACACATAGCTACCCTACAGGATAAGGTTGAACTGCCCTGTAAGGTTGTGGGGCTGTGAATCTTTACAGAAGCAGGCTACTGCACCTTTCTCCCAGTGCAGCTGGTGGGTTATAACAGTCAACATTTCAGTTAGCAACTGAATGCCTAACCAGTGTGCCACCAAGGCTCCTAAACAGAGTCAAGTATAATTCAACTCAATGCTTTAAGAACTTTGAAGTACAGAGTAAATGCTAAGTTCTACATTAGATTGGCAGAGTTATGTGTACCAGTATCGATAATGTATAAAATCTATGCCAAAAATTCAAGTAAGAAAAATCTCCTTTTAGGATCTAGGAAGGTTATCTATTTCTTATTTCACCAGGATTAAGTCTCACAAGCAAGACTAAAAACAAATTATCTACACAAAGATAATAGACGTGCAGAGGAGCTTAAAAGCTAAGTTTGTCAATCTAACTGATCCACCTTAAAAAACCTTTTAAACATCTTACCTTTTTTTAAACATCTTACCTTTTTTAATATTGCTGCATTAACATTTGGAAGAGGAACTGGGTCATCATCTCCTTCATCATCCATTCCCAAATCTTAAGAAAAAAAAATTTTTAAACAATCAAAAGCAAGAGTTGTCACTTCCTTAACATCATTGTATTTATATCAACAAGTGGTTTTCAAACAATTTACATGACACAACGTCTGAGAAAACTTTCAAAGTATTAAGTATAGTTCTCTTAAAAATACATAAAAATAGTAGCTAATAAAATTGAGTTAATGAACCAAGCAAAACTATAAAACTGGTGAGAAGACAAATATGGGAGTATTAATCAAGGGGAGTTCTGAATTTTTTGGGGGGGAGAGTTGTGAATTTTGAAAAGTGATTTAATAAGGTTGAGGTTACTGAATTTTGAACAAAAAATTAGTAAGGTTAATGGGTAGTCATCTGGAAAAATTAAAGCTAGGCTCTTGTTCATATCAAATTTTCTACATAGCTTTTACCTAGAAAAGCAAAACCATGAAGAGAACTGTAAGTAATAGAATCTCAATCTATTTCTATCTGAAACATGGTAGGGGGATGAGTGTGCCACACCCATCCAACAAATCACTGGACCATTGGCAAAAGCAAGCCAACTGGCTCCACACATACCAATGTAACCAAGATTGGCTCTACACATACCAATGTAATCAAGATTATTATAAAAGTATCTGAAGACACACGGGAATATGTTTAAGTATTTAGGTACCTAAGAAGACATAAGGAACTGTTACCAGATAATATCTCTACAGAATTAAACTAGAAACCAGGTTTACTTTCTCACCTGTATCCTGTGTTTATAATGTACTTGCTATTTCCTATAATACTGAGTCTATTCTCAGTGATCCGTTAGCTCAAAGAAAATTTTCAACATGCATTTTAAAGATGTGAATATTCATCAAATGAGTCTGCTGTTCAGTTTTTCCATGACTACCTAAAGAAAGTCATGTTATTGCTAGTAAGAACCATAATCACACATGAGATATTTTCACAAGTAGATTGGTTGAAGCATATTATCAATGATGCAGACACTACCAATGTTGAGTTCCACATATACACCAGGTGGTATACTAGTCAATGAAGATTCCGTAATCAAAAGAAAATTTGAGGGGAATTTCAGACAAGGTTGTTCAGGATGCCCGAGAGTATTTTCATAAGCACAGAGAATGGCAAAAGCAGAGTCTTCTGAAGGAGGGTATTGTTCTTAGGTGTCTTCAAGTACAATACGACTCTAGCAATCCTACGAAAAGACCTGAACCTTGCCCTATCCTTGTGCCATCTTCCTCATCTCTGACACACTTGACCCTTTAGCTGCAATCACCTTAATCCATCCATCTCTTTGAGGAGTCTTCCTTTCATTAACCTACTATCTTTCCAAGCATGATGTCTCTTCTCAAGGAATATACTCACCTAGCTACATGTTCAAAGTATAAGACTAATCTTCACTATCTCTGTTTTCAAAGAAGCACTCTGGTTGTACTTTTTCCAAGGCGCATGTGCTTGTTCTTTTGGCAGTCCATGGGATACTCAGTACTCTCTTCTCTCACCACCACAACTCAGTCATTAATTCTTCTGTCATCCTTATTCACTAATTATGGTCTGAATCAGGCACACCTTAATCCTTGCTCTTGAGCATTTTGGAGAGGTCTCTGACAGCAGACTTGCCCATCTCCAGATTTCCTGATTGCTGGTACCAAGGGCGTTGGATGTTGATCCAATCACTGATATCTTCGATCCTTTCTCCATCTATCATGATGTTGACTGTTGGTCCTATAGTGAGGATCCTTGTTTTCTTGATGCCGAAATGTAATCCATAATGAAGGCTATATTTCTTTATCTTCTGCAGCAAGCCTTTCAAGTCTTCCTCACTTTCAGCAAGCAAGACTGTCATCTGCTTAATGCAGGCTGCTGATTAATCTCCCTCCAATCCTGATGTCACATTTCTCTTCATGGTGTCCAGCTTCATGAATTATTTGTTTATACAGCATACAGAATGAATAGGTTTGGAGAAAGGATACAACCCTGATGCCCATCCTTGCTCCATTCAGAAAATAGCTTTTTGATCTAAGTGCAGCTTTCTCATGAGCACAATTAAGTATTCCATGATTCCCATGCTCCTCAATGGTAGTCATAATTTGCTATGATCCACGAAGTCAAATGTCTCTGTGTAGTCCTTAAAAGACAGATATTTTGGAATTCTTTGTGTTCAGCCAGAACCTCTGGCATCCACAATGATATTCCTGGTGCCACATCCTCTTCTAAACCCTATTTGAACTGAAGCAGTTCCCTGTCAATGTACTGTTCTAGTCATTTTTGGATGATCTTCAGCAATATTTTGCTTGCATTTCCTCCTTTCTTAGGAATGGGAACAAATGTATCTTTCACGCAATTGGCCAGGAAGCTGTCCTCCAAGAAATTTCTCAGCATAAACTCACAAGAATTTACAAGATGCAGGGCTGCATCTATTAGTTAAACATGTCAACTGGTATTACAATGATTCCTGGGGTATTATGTTGATTGCTTCTGAGTAACTGTATGAACAAAAGGCCTCGAAGCCCCTCTACAACTATCGACATTTAACAAAGTTTATATTAAAAAAATATTACTAGAGCAACTAGATACTACAGCAGACTGCAATCGAACAAGGAGAAAACATTAACAGAGCCTTGCAAATTCTGGCTGCTTCTACTGAGAAGAGACAGTGAAGAATGGTGGAGTTAGGGAGAGTTGCACAGGAAAATTATTCAGGCATAAAATGGAAATTAATTATTCAGGCATAAAATGGTGACCTGGACAAGATTTGCAGCTATGGAAAGGTAAAAAAATTATCTGATTCTGCACCCATTTTGAAGGTAGAGCCAACAAGGTTTGTAAGCAGATGAGAAGTTAAGATGGGAAAAGTTACAGAAAACTAAGGTTTATGGGAATAGCAACTATGGATTTATGAATGAAGTCACACAAACACAGGAAATGCTGTTAGGAACTGTTCTTGTCCTTGTCCTTGGATGTCCATTAGATAGCTAAGAGTAGAAAAGGTATATTATATATTCAAGTCCAGAAATCTGTAGACAAGCTCAAAAATGTATGTAAATTGAGAACTGGTATACATGCTACAATATTAGACAAGATGACCAAAGAAACATATGGATCCAGCAAAGCAGCCCAAGAATTAAACTTGAGGAACTACAAGTTTAGGGGAAAAAGAGGTTATAAGCAGAAATAAGGTAAAGAATACCCTGAAAGACAAGAGGAAATAATCAATGAATAGGACTAAATGACAGCTGAAATCAGATCATGCATTTGACAATATGTCACCAATTTTGACAAGTAATTCCAGTGGAGCAGTCAAGATGAGTTCAGATTCAAAAGTAGTATTAACTTACTATTTTATATGGACGAACCCACATATCTTCTGTCTTGTCTTGCCAATGCCTTTCCCTGAACCCATCTCAGACTAGGCTATTACTACAAAATGGCTAAGCTAATACCTCATTTCAAGCTCAACTTGGATCACTTTTTCTTAAGCTAGTACATATATGCATACATACACACATATTTTTTTAGGGCGCTCTAGTAGTACAGTCTGTAGGAATTTGTGCTAACCCAAAGGTCATGCCTCTTGGGCAGTCTGAAGCCACAAACTTCTCTTGAGGAAGGCAGATAATCTCCTTATATGTCAATTAGTCTCAGAAACCCAATAAAGAGGAGTTTTAAGTACCATTTTAATTAGAGAACAACAACAAAATTAAACCATATGAAGTATTTGCATATGGGAAAGTAAGTGAACCTTACTGATAGTTCAGAACCATCAGCCACTCTATGAGTGAAATACCTTGTAGTCGGCCTCTGTAAAAGAATTGTAGCCTTTACAACCAGGAGAGGATAAAATGAATGGGGCCTTCTGAGAATCAAATTCCTATGCACATCCAAAAACTTCTCCAAAAGGGTAAAAAGGGAAGCCAAAGACTAGGAAAAAATATTTGGTAAAATGTAAGTATTAAATACTCGAGCACCACAAGATAAAGGTAAATAACCCAACTGAAAAATGGGCACAGGATATGAACAGACACTTCACCAAAGAAGACATTCAGATGGCCAACAGACACATGAAGAAATGTTCAAAATCTCTAGCTCTCAGAGATGCAAATCTACTATATCATCTCACCCCAGTAAGAACAGCAAAATTTAACAGAACAGCAAACAAATACTGGCCAGGTTGCGGAGAAAGTGGAATCCTTATTCACTGTTGGTGGGAGTATAAAATGGTGCAACCACTATGGAAGGCTGCATGGCACGTTCTCACAAAGTTGCAAATAGAGATACCATTTGACCCAGCAATTCCACTACTGGGAATATACCCTAAAGAAACCATTACTACTACCCAAGCAGATATATGCACACCCATGTTTATCGCGGCTTTGTTCAGAATAGCAAAGAGTTGGAAACAACCCAAGTGCCCATCAACAAATGAATGGATAGAGAAGCTGTGGTATATTCACACAATGGAATACTATGCTGCAATAAAAAACAAGGAACTCACTAAATATTATACAAAATCGGTGACCCTGGAGGACATACTGAGTGAAAGATCTCAGTCACAAAAGGACAAATATTGCATAGGGCCACTGTTGTAAAACAGGACTGACATCCGGGTTGAGGGGAGACTGAGAAAGATGGGATAAATAATGTATACTGCATTGAAACACATGGGGACAGAATGGTTTAAGAGGGATATACGATTAGGTATTATTGCCATGACAGGCACCCAGAATGAAGGCTGCATAGTCGAGTGAACTTAGGGGTAGGGACTATATAACAATATAGAGCGAAATGGGGGAGAGGTGGGCAGGGAGACAAGTGCAACAATGAATGAATGGAAACCCTAAGTCTCTGTAAACATTCATTAAAATTAATTGGGGGGGAAAAAAAAAGATTATAGCCTTGGAGACCCTATATGGCAGTTTTACTATGTCCTATAGGGTGACAATGAGTCAGAATAGACTTTATGAATTTGAAGAATTTTTGGTTATGGAGAAGGTATTTAGTGAAACTTAATAGCAACACCAGTTTCCAAAAGTTTTTTTAAAAAAATGTTTTAAGTAACATTAAGCATTTAAAACTAAGGGCTCGAAATGATTTTCCTGCTTTTAGACTGAACGCACAAGTAGCAACAGTCAGTCTTTTAAGCTATTCAATTTCAAGGACTTATGAAAGAGACTGTATCCTGATATCACATAGGACTTAAATGAATCAGCCAATCCACATGTACATATGCCAAGATTTTCTTTTCTGATTGCCCTGTCTTTAAAAGGTTTTATTTCTGTTTTCTAAGTCACACAAAACCTAAAACCAGAGATACTGGAGATTAAAAACAAAGGAAGCAACTATTTTGTCAAATTCAATAAACTATCCTCAAGAGACCATTCTGTATAAGCCATCTTAGTTAAGAAAAAGCCATTCACTTTTGATTCCCAAAGTTTGAAAAAATAATTTAACTGTTGCTATCACCCCACTTGCTTCAGTGATCAAAGTTGGTTTCACAAACTTTTTAGGAGCCCTATGCTCTCACATTGCAACAAACGCCTCTTTGAAGCAGTACAGGAAAGATTAGTGTCAGAAATCAACAAGGATGAAATAAAGAACACTTTCCTTGCCAAAGCAAGTATTTAGGCAGCAATTTTCATATCAATTTATACATATTCTACATAAAACCTTACCTGCCTTTAGGAACACTTAGATTGCTTTCAATCTGTTTATTAGTGACCGTAACATAGTTCTTCATTCAACAGGTACTTGATAAACAGTCACTGTGGGATATACCAAGTTGTTTACAATTTAATAGACTACATATATGTATATAAAAAAGGCTTAATGCCGGTGAATCCTAACTGACCCTCTAGTGGGTATTCAGAGGCTGTACAAACCAAACAGGAGACTGCTCATTTTTCTCCCTCAGTGGACTTGAACCACCACAGGCATGCTGTTTTTATTTAGCAGTATTAAGTCCCTACCCACTAAGCCATTAGAGCTCTCTAAGTACAAGACAACTGAAAGGAATTATATATTCAGTCACATACTTCAAAAAGAAGACACATCCACTGCAATTCACCTATGCTTCTACCACACCTAAAAATACCTGTTCAAAGTCTTCTCTTGAAACCCCACTGCACCAATTCTCAACTTCTTATTTCCAAACTCTTTTTTTTTTTTAATTTTATTTTTTTTTTATTATTTTTGTGTGCGTGTACTGTCAAATCAGATCTGACTGGTACAGGAGGAGATTGTCCCTCCTTCCCCGGCAGAGCATCTGGTGGATTCGAACCGTGCGCCTCTGGGATTGTAGTTGCAGCTCCTTGCCACTAGGCCACCAGAGCTCCCCCTTATTTCCAAACTCTTAATGCTGAGGTGACAAACCTTCTATCACCATATGTCTGCCAACCAACTTAATCTTTATCTTCAACAGTCTAGTCTCCAATCAGGACCAAGATCAACATACTCAACTACTTAAGATTACCACCTAGAGCTTGTGAGAAAATCTTAAAATGCAATAAGTCCTAGTTCAAAGTCATTTTCTTCTCCATCTCAAATCTGGTCTCTTCTGCCAACCCCAGCATCACAATGCTACTCCAATTCTGACAGATGCCAGCTTAAAAATTCCAATTTTAAATTTCCCTCATATCCCAGAATACTCCCCTAAGCATTCTAATTTTATTTTAAAAATCACCTCACTAGTCATATATCAGTCTCTCTCCAGATCAGGCATGAGAATAATATCAGCCAAGATATACCTCACAGTACCTATTAATGCACTAATTATATCAAATGATGGTTGATCTTAGTTGGTCTCTAGCTACCCAGATTCCAAATTCAAGGATAAAAATGTCTCATTTCCCTTTTTTTTCACCATAATATACCTAATTTCTGACATATAATCTATCATCTCTACATAAATCTTTGACCATCTGAATACAGAAAAACCCTATTACCAAATCCTCCACACACACCAATTCTACACATCAACTGTTTATCTACATTTACTAATGTCCACAAGCAACAGCAATACAAAGTAGAAATATAACTCTTATTGCATCAGTATTCTCTTCCCTACGTTTTCATTGGGGCTGCAAATAAACTTTACAGTAGTTTCACAGGAATGACAACACACAAAGAAAACTACAAAGACAGCTAGCTACTCTGCTTAAATAACATGTTCTGCTTAACTACCAGATAAAAGAGATGCCTTTTTCAAAAGTTTTTATTTTTTATTATTAGAAACTGTGAATCCAAAATCACTAGATTGTCTAAGGTTTGGAAATCACTTAGAAAATAATTGGTTTCTGGCTTTATTCCTTTAATAAGGAAACCAAAACCATTATTCAGACAATACAGAGAGGATAATCTGTAGCAGAACAATGTCATTAATTTTTAAAGGAAGAGAGTAACCCTTCTTGAGTGCCTCTAATATCCAATATTCATATGTTATCTCAAAGAATATCTTTCATGTGCTTTCCTCCTTCCCATATGTTCTATTAAGCTTACCTTCCAACATGGTCTTGATAGTCACAGATTGTTTGGCAATTTCCACATCAACTTCAAATATCTCTCCGTCAGAACTCTGCAACTTAATTGAAGGCATCTAAAAAAGGTATTTTGAAATTTAAGACATTTCAATGACTAGTTTATCAGAACCTCTCCAACTTAAATATAAAATCCTAAGGACCTGCTATATATACTACTATAAAATTAAGTGGCTATTCCCAGGTTATATTTATTTCTACAGAAATAATCTTCAGGTATAATTTCCAGGCAAAGACATTTCTTCGGGCTTGCCCTACTGAGTTCACTATTGATATAATTTTCTTTTCACTATGGATATACATTTAAGAGTTAAGCACTTCTGATGCAAAATGCATCTCGTGTACTTACTGCCTGTCAGTGGCAATGGCACTTTTAGGAAAAAAATGCCTACTTCTAAAAATTACTCAATGAAAAATCCTACGTACAGCAATCCACAACATACATGGATTGCACATATGGGTTACCATAAATAAAGAGGTAGTAGTTATCAGTAACAAAAAGGACTATTTCACTTTCTGCTTCCAGAGAATACTGACTACTTTCCCATTTAAACAGTTAACACAGAAAGGTCAGTCCAAACAAAGTAAAGAGAGGGTACAGGAGACCTACCAGTGAGTGAGTTCATACCTTAAGAGTAGATCAACACAAAACAATTTTCACCAATGACGTTATTATAACAGGTGGAAAAAAGAATGGAGTTCTCAATTATTTCATTTTACTTAGATCCACAATCAATACCCATAGGAGCAGCAATCAAGAATTCAAAAGACATGTTGCACTGGGAAAATCTATTGTCAAGGTTCTAAAGAACAAGGATGCTGGCTTCAAAACTAAGGTGCACCTGATCTAAGCCACATTTTCAGTTGCTTCCTACACCATCTGAAAGTTGGACAATGAATAAAGAAAACCAAAAATAAAAAAAGTAAAGGAGCTCTGGTGGCCTAGTGGCAAGAAGCTGCACTGCAACCCCAGAGGTACGCAGTTCTAATCCACCAGATGCTTTGCTAAAGGAGGGGCAATTTCCTCCTGTACCTGTCAGATCCAATTTGACGGTACACACAAAATAATAAAATTTTAAAAAACAAAAAAAAACCCAGTAGATCAAGATACTCATTTGTTTAGATTAATGCAGGATCAAGAGAATAAAATTAAAGAAGATGATAGTACAATTCTCTAGATCTACTAAGGAGCTAAATTTCATAGACTCCTTTTTATCTCTCATTACTGACTGACTGTTCAGGTGTCCAAGTTTTATTAACTTTTTTATTAATGTACTTATTAACTCAATTATGCCGCATTCCCTCTCAGCTGTCATCGAGATGGAAATGACTCATAGTAGACCCTCCAAACTGACCCTATTAACAGCCCAACTCCCTATGGACCGTACACTAGAGTCCCTTTATGCCTCATTAGTAAAAATAAGCAATTAACTTCAAAGAACTTGAGTTCTTGGGGTAAGGGTGAAGGGAGATTCCTTTAAAAATCAGTAGTTCTAAATGAGTAATTTCTTATCAGATGTTTTAAAAAACATCTGACAAAGATTACTTTAAGACTTCAAATAACTAGTTTTAAAGGGCCCATGTTTCTGATGTATTTAAACCTTTGTGATGTTACTATTTACTAACTAAAATAAAAGCCACAGGCTGAAGCCTTTTAAGTGCATTGTATTTTTTTTTTTTAAGATTAGGACATTCTGGTGGCCCAATGATGTGTGTCAATTCTCAATTACAAAATTCCAGTTTAAATTCATTTCAGTCCAATTCATTGCACTTATACGCAAAGACCTAAGATTATATCAGTTAAAACTATTTCACTTTTCTGAGAAAATTATAATTGGTCCCATCTCCTATACAGCCAGAGCAGTGACAGAAAGCCAAATAGTAAAGTCAATGTCTTAAAGGGAACTCTGGTGGCCCAATGGTTAAGAAGTTGCACGATAAATCCTAATAAACACTGTTCAAATCCACCAGGTATCCATGGAAGAAAGGTGGGGCAGCAATCTCCTCCCTTGTGAAAACCCACTGAAGGGTCAACTACGAATGAGTCAGTTCTGACTCAACGATACACAACTGTGTCTTAAAAGCAGTCACTGAAATATCCTGCTCTCACCTGTCCATGACTGGAGTCAGATTTCACTTATCAGTTCACCAACATGTCTGCCTCTCCATTTTGCTTAGGCAACACAGGCTTGGATTACAAGCATGGTCAGATTCTAAACTTGTCTTTTAAACCTAATTTTTACATAAGTTAGAACATGTATCATGTGCATCTAATATCAGTCAGACATTTGTCTTAGCATATAGAATACCTTTACATTCATAAAAAAATTGAGAAACTTTGATATAGTAAAATATATCTTTCCTCTTATGAGGAAATTGTGTACTCCAAATTTTAATATTTGAGGTACGTGGGGGTGGGAAGGGTGGTGCTTTACATAACTTTCATAAGTCACGGAAAGACTGTAATGAAGCTGTCCTGCTCACTTGAGAACAGATAGAAGCAAGTCTGGGAACCTCTGAAGGAAACCACAAAAGATAAGGACAAAAGAAAATTTTCATTTATAAAGCATGTTATACTGGGCAGTGCAGGATCTAAGCCTGACAATACAGTCGATAAAATTATCCTTAAGCAAGATGATTTCTTGTCTATTTCAAATGACTCAACAATAAACAGCATGATATGCTTAGTCACAGTCAAATTCATGTATTAGGTTACTCTTAAGGGAGTTTGAGATCTTATTGAATGCAGGGAGGCAATTGGTTTATCTGTAATCTGATGCATTTTGTAATCCTAGACTTACCACTCAAAAAGAACTCGAAGTGTGAGTGATACTGTAGGAATTAACCGCAAAACTTATCAGATAATGAAGTTTTTATTTGACATACTTGCAAGACCATTCAATTTTTTAAGCTTCTGTACTTGGAAATGAAATCACTTTCCAACATAAGTAGGCAGTAGATTCATTCACATCACAATGGAAAATTTAAGTGATCTGAAATTCTGCCATGTTTTCAGACCACAGAGTAAGGAGTCGGTATTGTCCTGGGACACTGATACGTTCTATTGTGACGTTCTGTTGAAAAAAATGCATGTCTAAAAGACCCAAGCCTAAAGTTTCCATTAAAAAGTGAACCACCGTCAAGACACCTGGAGTTAACTTTTAGAGAGTTAGGGCTCCCAAAGCACCCCTCTATGTCGAGGGGAGCTGCTATTTATAATCTCCGCCTGAAAGACTTCAAGTCGTGGCAAAATAATGGAGAGAGCTTATTCGGGAGGAGCCAGGGCTGGTAGCTAGTGACGCCAGATGCAAGGGAGGGAAAGGATGAGGGCCAGCAGTCCTAGACTATACCATCACCACCCTATCTCAGGATAGTGGTTAAAAAAAAATACGTGTATGTACACACACGTGTACACACACACACACACGCCCACGCCAAGAAACAAAACAGCATCTGCAATTCAAAGCCTCACTCCCATCCCTGCCCAAGTCCCCCAGGTCAGCATATTCACCATCAAGGGAGGCCCTAGCCCGTAGCCCTGCAGCGCGACTCCGCGCGGCACAACCAGCTCACCAGGTGCAGATAGGGCCCCACCTGGAGCTCCACTAACAGCTTCTCCCTCCCACCTGGACGCCGACAAGGCGCCGGGAGGGCTCACTGCCCGCTGAGGCTTCGCCAAGGGCAGGGGCGGGGTGGGTGGACGGGGCCCTGGACAGCATCTCCGAAGAAAGGAGTCCCTCAGGGGGTTCCGTCGGGCCTGAGAGAAAGCCAGGCCTAGTGGCCTCCCGCCCCTGACAGGCCTCAACTGCAGCGGTGCCGCCACCCAGTCCACAATCTGCAGCGCCACCGCCCCTTCCAGTTCGTTCAGCGGCTACTCACGGTGTTCGCCTCAAGAAGACCGCAGACCAGGGGCTGGTGAGAGCTGGGCAGCCAAGAGAAGAGGATAATAAAGGAAAGCGGAGAACAAGGCCAGTACGGCGGTGCGCGGCGTCGGCCTTTATAGCGGCGGGAGAAGGTGCCGAGGACCTCTGAGCCTGTGGCGTCACAGAGCTGGCTGGGCTGGCCGTAGAGATCGCCTGACGGGAGGCCAACGAGGGCGGGTGGGGTACAGTGGTGCTGCTGGGGCCAGGCTGGGCAGAGAAACAATTGATCAGGGTGAGAGGGGCCAGAGGGTCGTTATTCTTACCCCTTCCCTTGAAAACGTGATTTTTTCCCCCCTCAAAGCGGATAACAAGGAGCAAGAACAATACTTCCGCAGTCTGAAAGGGTCCTTCAGGCAGGAGCTGTCTTAAGCGAAATTAAAGTCCCCAGGCCTGAAAAGCCTAGAAACAAACAAGACTAACGTGTGTTAGGCAGGGGAAGGGGAGGCGTGGCGTCTGGGAGGAGCGCTGGTGCTCCTTTCATGTTGAGAAACAGGGTTTCCAAAACCTAGAGCTGGCAGATGCCCATTTGCTATTACTGCTTTGAGCCTAGGATAGGCCAAGTGCTATGTGCTTAACGTGAAATTATCTCATTTTTACAGTCATTGCCTGAAGTAAAAATATTATCTCTTTCCCTCTCTCTGTATGAGGAAACAGGTTCAGAAAGGTTAAATTGTCAGAAGCAAAATTTTAGGTTTGATGTTCTTAACCTTTATTTCACTTAGTTTCTGAAGTACTTTCTTGCTCAAAAAGAGCCTGGTCTTGCAGAAACCCGTCGGGAGAGACTTTTTTCTGGCAAGGAGTATCCGCTCTGTAAACATACACTGACCCTCCATGTCTGTGAAATACAGCATTGGAAATTTCAGCTGTCAACCAGGCACCCGCAGATGTATGGGGTGTCCCCACAAAGTCATAGTGGGATCCACAGGTTGAAGCCAACTAAAGGAAAGAGAGAAGTCTAACATGTACCCACACCACACTGCGCACCCCATCTTCAATCTAGCCTGGTCAGGGATTGTGCAGCTGCACTGCCCTATCTCGCTGTGCCTGGGAAGAAGGTGTAGTCCCAGCCCAGGACTCACTTGGATAAGAGGCATGTGGAAGACAAAGACACTTCACACAGGGGCCCTCTAAAGAGG